TAATACCAAACAACATGGTTCCTGGCTAAGAACATTATTACCTAAATATTGGAGTCCATGTAGATGAGGACACATTGGCAAACCTAACTGAAGATGGAAACCTCACAGACCTTCGCACAATTTAGCCAACAGAGTCTCAAAAATAAGAATATCAGATGACCCAACCACTAATGTAGAACACTATTCAACATCATCTGTCACTAATGCTGCACCACCAACTACTGAGAGAGAAGTGATTCAGCAGGATGTACAATCATTACGACAGCCACAATCCTCTTGTCTCAAGTGGCCAAGCATTGGAGGGGCTTTCATTAATGAATTTAAAACAGAGGGCTATTTTTCAATGGCATTCCTTTCCTACTGGTAAGATGGTATAAACAATGTACTTTTTTTATTAATATCTATTAGGTGCTGCTGACTTTAATGGCACAAGTACTTATTCAGTTACAGTTAGTTGGAAACAACTTTGTTCATCTTATCAAGTATGATGATAAGAGATTTGACAGGCATCCTTGCTTTCATTTTGTTGCACTCAATACTGAGATGAGATGGTGTGCAAATGAAACTGGCTGAATTTATATCCATCAAAATCCTGGTGAAGCTCACCTCACAGTTGATGATCTGAGGGATATGATTGGTCATGAAGGAGAAATATTTCTTAACTAAGTTACACATTATGGAGATTATGGAGCAGGTCTACATAGTACCAGGCAGTTCTGGTTATGAGAGAGGAATCATCTCATTGCTATGATTGACAAACTAGGACTGCCTATCATCTTCTTTACTCACAGTGCTGCTGATCACCAGTGGCCAGAGTTAGCTCAACTCATTTGTCCTGAAGATCCAGAGGATAAGCAGGCTCGTGTAAAACAGTTATTGATAACCCTGCTCTAGGTGACTGGTTCTTGTTACAGCAGTTTGTAGAAGTGTACTATGTTGGTATACTTGGAGCCACAAACTGCTGGATGAGATTTGAGTGGCAACATTGAGGCAGTCCTCATGTACATAGAATAGCTTGGCTACCCAATGCTGCTAATATTAAGGACCATCTCTAATAATCACCTGATGTTGAGGAATCAACTAAACAACAGATCATTGAGTGTGCTGATAAGATCATCTCTACCATTAATCCTGCTGTCTTTCCTGATGCTAGTAATGTCAGTGATGCTCCACTAGCAAAGGTTGATCCACACATCTGTAACAAGTCATTTTCACAAGTAACAGATTTCGAGGAAGACCTGCATGGTCTTATTGCCACCTGCCAAAAATACACTTGCCGTTCGGAGTCCTACTGTCTACCTACATGTCATGGCAAGCAGGAGTGTCGGTTTAAATATCCTTAAGATCTTCAGGCACAGACCACCATCAACATCACTGAATAGGAGCCTGTAATTCTCACTGCACTTAATGATGGCATGCTTAACAGCTTCAATCCCTTTCAACTAACTTCCTGGTGAGGTAACATTGACATGCAGTATATTGCATCAAGGAACAGGGTTATTCAGTACTGCACCAAGTATGTCACCAAGAGTGAGTCTAGGTCACACACTTTGAAGGATACTTTTGCCGACATTGCACGTTCTTTGAAAGAAGGTAATTGATCAGTTAAAGCTGTCCAAAAGCTCCTCATCAACAGCTTTAGAGAGAGGGACTATTCAGCACAGGAAATGTTTCACCTTCTATTGCAGCTCATTATGTACAAAGAATCAATGTGTCTTTACTCTCAGTCTTGATGGCACTAGAGGTGCTAAAAACACTGCACAAGAGGGAGAGAGGGTAAGAGCTCATTCTGTGTTAAACCATTCTACATCATGTCCTTCAAGTACGCAGTTCAATACCATCACTATCCTTGACTTCACTCGTCAGTACACCTTGACAAGGACTTTGGTGAAGAACCAAAAAAGAGGAGAAAAGAAGTCAATGTCACCCCCAGACGTTACTCTTCAGCAGATCCATCTGGCCCCAACTATGAGCAGTGCTGTCGTCAGTCTCTCATGAAGTGCAAGCCATTCAGAGATATCAATAAACTCAAGTCTGGCTATGATACCTTCACTGAAGCATATGTTGAATATTGACGGTCTGGAAATGTTCCAAGATCACTGGAGCAGGATATATTCAGACTGCAACAACACTAGTCATCATCAGATGCTGTTAAAGATGAAGAGGTATGAACTTCAATTTTTTCTATTATTATTGTTATCATTATTATTATTATTATTATTATTATTATTATTACTATTATTATTATTATTATGAGAGTGGGAAAGGAATAATAAAAGAGGGAGAGGGGAATCACAAAAAGGATCAATTATATAAGTTATATAAGATAAATAAGTTATGTAAAGAAAGAAAACAAAGTTAGATGAGGCCATAAACAGATGCTGGCAATGAGGGATGACAGGTAGCCCACATTAAAGCATTGCCTCTGCATAGGGCAACCGAGAGCCTTTGAAATAGGTGACGACAGGTTTCTGATAAAGAGTGACTGAAACGAAGAGGTAGGAGACGGAAGATGTGGCCAATAACCTCAGAGCCAGAGGAGCTCTATCCACCAAGGGTCTAAACTGCCATGGGGATAAAAGTGATCCAAGGCCGATGACAATTGGCAGCGTTGAGAGATAGTTTCCTAGCCTCTGCAACACTAAGAGATGAGCCCTGAACCACAGCAGCAGTGGCAACCCTCTCCTTTTAAAGGGGGGAGATAACCGTAATATCCAGGGCCACTGGACATCCACCTTTCCACTGTGAGAGAAGGACATTGGCTGGACGAACAGAAGAGCCAGGGACAAGAGAAGGCATCTCGTTCCTAGGGGCGAGTGCAGCTGATTTGGCGGAGGCAAAAAGGACATATCTAATAGAGTCATGACGTTGGATGAGGTCTTTGTTGCCCCTACAACACACTTGATGGTCTCCAAAGGTGTCCGTTGGGAAAGAACATACCTGGCAGGAGAAGGTATTACTACTGAGATTCACACCAAGCCAGTATTGTACACACAAGCGATACTCTTCGTCAAGGAAGTGCAGACCCAGTTGATGTGACGGGATGGCTGATAACCAGTCACCTGAGTGAGGGAAAGAAGTTGAAAGGGCAACAGCTCTAGAGCGAGTATCAGGGGCTGATTATTATTATTATTATTATTATTATAACTCTGACGCATGCGCCCGACTATACTCACGCGGGACAAATAATAATGATTGCATAGCCAACAACTTTAGTCGCGCGGGTCCATAGCTGCTGCATCACAGACAGTTTTAGACAGCAACAGCGTTTTGCCATGGCAAAAAGAAACAAGATCTCATCCGACCCACAGTACTTGCTTGAGATGCTGGATGAGCTCAGTGAAGAGAGTGATGATGATTTTGATGGCTATATCTCGGACTCAGACAGTAGTGATGATTGTGAAGAATACAGCAGGCAGGAGCAATCAAATGTTACATGTAAACTTGTAAAAGATTTTATTTATCATTAAAATGAAACAAAATAAATAATAAATAGATGAAAAGCTTTCTAAAGAAATTGCTGCAGCAATTCACTTCTGTACAAGCAATCCTAGTCAAAGTAAAACAATATCTGCCTATTCCATAAATAGTTTACACACTAATAGCTCTTGCAAGTCCTTCAGCTACTGCCTCCCACTATAGTAGCTTACCTAGTCAAAGACAGTAATAAATGCATTGCATTTTATTTATTGCTTTCACACTAATAGCTGCTTGCACACTATAGCTCTTGCAGGTCCTGCAGCTACTGCCTCCCACTATATTAGCTTATCTAGTCAAAGTAAGACAGTAATAAATGTATTGCATGTTTTATTTATTGCTTACACACTAATAGCTCTTGCAGGTCCTTCAGCTACTGCCTCCCACTATAGTAGCTTACCTAGTCAAAGTACGACAGTAATAAATGTATTGCACATTTTATTTATTGCTTACACACTATAGCTCTTGCAGGTCCTTCAGCTACTGCCTCCCACCATAGTAGCTTATCTAGTCAGAGTAAGACAGTAATAAATGTATTGCATGTTTTATTTGTTGCTTACACACTAATAGCTCTTGCAGGTCCTTCAGCTACTGCCTCCCACTATAGTAGCTTACCTAGTCAAAGTAAGACAGTAATAAATGTATTGAATATTTTATTTATTGCTTACACACTAAAAGGTCTTGCAGGTCCTTCTGCTACTGCCTACCTCTCCAGCACAATACCCAGTCAAAGTAAGAAAATAATACATGCTATGCATAATATTTATATTTGTGACTTACACTATATAAAAGCTCTTGTACAACCTTCTGCTACTGTGTCTTCAATTGCTGTATCTCCAGTTTCTTTAAGTAATCTATAAATTATAAAAATTGTATTTTACTTATACTCTACAATAGCTTGTGTGTTTACGGGAAATCCTGGCAGAGCCCAAGGAGCCATAAAAGGAAACAGCCCAATAGACTTCTTTAATGCTTTCTTTGATGAAAACGTAAAAGATCTGATTTACACAGAGACAACCTGCTATGCAGAGCAAGATATTAGGAACACAGAAGCACATTTACAATTGCACAAACATGCAAGGGGCAACCAATGGAAGCACAACCCTATGAATAGAGAGGAAGTTAATATATTGTTGTCTGTTTTGATAGTAATGGGTGTTGTAGGCTTTCTAACACAAAGGTACATCTACATGTATGTGTTTCACATTGACTTACCTTGTGCGTCTTTAGGTCATATTGGAGTACCAAATGGCCCTTAAATTGCGACATCTTCAAAGGTATTATCACTGGTAGACGGTTTGATCTACTCATGAGATACCTTTACCTCAATGATAAGGACAAAATGCCTCCAAAAGGGAGTCCTAACTATAATAGAATATATAAAATTCGCCCATAACTAGAGTGTATTACTCGAGTCTTCAGTAGTGTGTATACACCAAGCAGAACCTTTCAATAGACGAAACCATCATCGCTTTTAAAGGGAGGCTGAGCTGGATTTAGTACATGCCCAAGAAGCCCCATAAATGGGGAATCAAGGCATGGGCTCTTGCTGACTAGCAATGGCTATATCTCAAATGTTAAGCTATATACAGGTTTACATCTACTTACACAGTTGTATCACAATATTACACTCTTCGTAGGTAAAACTCCGGGAGTAACAGAGAAAGGTCTTGGACATAAGGTGGCAACGGAACTGGTGTCTGACTATAGAGACAAGGGATACACCTTATTCATGGATAATTATTATTCCTCACCTAAACTGTTCAATGATCTTGTTAAGTCACGATTCTGTGCTTGTAGTACAGTCCGCAGTGACAGGCGAGGAATAAAGCAGACTTTTAAAGACAAAGTTCTTTCCATTGGTAAGCCATGTGTTAGCTTGTCTATTGATATTCACCTAAATACAGGAGAAGTATACAGCGAAATGACAGAGAGTGGAATTTTGTGCCTCAAATGGAAGGACAAAAGAGATGTGTGCATGCTGTCAACATTTCATGATGACAGCATAATAGACAAGAACCGTCGCAGGAAAGGAGTAGCAGGAATGGAAACAATTAGAAAACCAAAGGTGGTAGAGGAGTATAATCAGAGCATGAATGATGTTGATAGACCAGATCAGATGGTCCTATACTATGGATATAGCCACAGGTACATAAAGTCTCTTGTTATTATTACAGCTAAGATAACACCGTTCTATAAGGCAATGAAGTGGTGGAAAAGGAATATTTTACCACTTGCTGGATTTGTCTCTGGTAAATGCCTAATATTCTTCATAATGAGGCTTCACAGAAACCAT